GACCGGCCCAGGCGTTCCGGCTTCGGGCACCCCCCTTGGCTCCAGCCCCCAGCCACCGGCCGGGCACTTCCCCTCCCGCGGCTGGAGGCTCTGCTCCTCCCCTGACTCTTTGGCTCTGTTTAAGAGCCGAGCTGCCTGAGCGCTACGGGCTTTGGGCAGCCCCCTTGCCTCCGGACCCTGCGCCGCCGGAGCCTGGGAGGGGAAGTGCCCGGCTGGGGGCGCAGGGTCTGGAGGCAAGGGGGCTGCCTGAAGCCCATAGCACTCGGGCAGCTTGGCTCTTAAACAGAGCCGAAGAGTCAGGGGAGGAGCAGAGCAGCCGCGGGAGGGGAAGTGCCCGGCCGGTATTTTTCCCGGACATGTTCGGCTTTTTGGCAATTCCCCCCAGACGGGGGTTTGATTGCCAAAAAGCCGGACATGTCCGGGAAAAAACGGACGTATGGTAACCCTATTTCACCTCCAGACAAAGGCAGAGACAGATGCACTGGCTGAGAGCTGAAGGGAGACGAATTCAGGCTGGGAATAAGGGGCCAGTGTTTACCAGGGAGGGGTTTACCACTGGAACAGGATCAGCTCCCCTAGGGACGGAATGGATTCTCCCTCACTGTGAGTCTCTCTGTGGAGATGGGGCGGCCCTTTCTCGAAGCTCCGCTCTAGCTCAGCCAGCAGTTACTGGGCTGGCGGCAGGAATCACTGGGGGAGATTGGGAATCACATTGGGCCCTGCTGCCCGTTATATGTATGAATCCCGCTGCACAAAGACAATGAGAATTTCAAGCTCTTCGGGGCTTGGCCTGTCTCTGTTCTGTGTCCGTACAGCGCCTGGCACAGGGGCCCTAGGTAATAACTCTGCTAGCTCCCTTGGCACCCAACGGAAATGGCCCCTCCTGAGCTGGGACCATTGGTGTAAACACCCCTCTGGTGCCATCACCGGCACGCTTAGAGCCCTGGCCTGCTAGCGGCAGGAGAGAGGCACCTGTCCCTGGCCTGAGGGAGTAGCTGCCCGGGGCTGATGCTTTGCATAGCTAGGTAGTAGAGTGAGACACGTACCCACACACACACGCAACCTCACACACAAGGGAAGGTTAGAGCAGCGCAGGGGCTCGTGAGCTCTGCAAGCCGGGGCCGGGGGTGGGGGAGGGGGTAGTGGGTTTGCGCAGAGGGAGGGGCTGGGAGTCTGGACTCCTGGCTTCTATTGTGTGGCACATCTGATTGTATTCTGTGATGGCCTGGCTCAGTATTTGCTGTAGGAGCCCCCCTTCTTTGATCCAGCAGCGCAGCTGCCTTTAGCAAGGAAACTCAGTCCCTAGCTATGCAGCCGAAGAAGTGAGGTTTTTACCCACGATAGCTTATGCCCAAATAAATCTGTTAGGCTTTAAGGTGCCACCAGACTCCTTGTTGTCTGGGGATGCGGTTCTGGGACTGGAGCCACTAGATGGCTCTGGCTCTGGGAGGCAAAGCTCATGTTTCTCTCTCTCTCTCTCAATCTCTTCAGCACTTCCTGGTGGTGCAGCTCCTGTCCTAGTCCCCAGTCCCCATTGTGCCTCCCTTTCTCCCTCCACACGGCATTACGACCTGGGGCTATGGGGGCCCGGGAGCCAGGTCTGAGCATCCCTTGGTGCCTGGGAGAGTGCATCAGCCAGCAGGTGCGGGGAAGCAGGACTCCTGGGTTCTGCCCCCGGCCCTGGCAGGGGAGGGGGGTCTGGTAGATTAGAGTTGGGGGTAGCAGTTGGGGGTCAGTGCTTGCCTTGGGCAGCCCCTCAGAGTGGTTGTGCCTCTCTCTGCTCTAGTGAGGTTTATCTAGTCCCCCTCTGGGGTGCTCAGTGATTGTGAGAAACAGGCCAAGCGGGTGTGTGGACTCGTTCCCAGGAGCCTGTGCAGACCCCACTCCTTGCTGTACATGAACAACAGATCATCCCTGAAACTGGGGGGGGCTTTTTCTGCTCGCTGTTTGCTGGCTGCAAGTTAGGGGGCTGTTTTTCATGGAAATGTTGGAAAGAAAATAAATTGTTTTTGTGTGTCCCCGTCCCCCCTTTCCCAGTTGGCAAAATAATTCCAGAGGGGTTTTTTCTCAGAACTTTCAGTAGTTGGCCAGTTTCAGCTCCTGGAGAAAAACTCCCGCTTGCCCTGCTCTTCCTCACCGGGGCAGGATTTCTGATTCCCATGGAAGCACCCTGCGTCCGGGATCTCCAGGGCTCTGAGGACACGGATGGGCCACAAGGCATCCACAGAGGTGAGAGAGCTCAGAGAGCATCTCTGAGACATGTAAATATCCCAGTGGGGCTGGGGTGAGCTCCTCCCGCCACAGCCCCAGTTCCGTCCCATCCCGGTTAGTTCAATAGCATGCCATAGATCTTGGTTTCCAAATCACAGGTTTTCTCCTAGCTTCTTAATGGATTTGGGGCGGGGGGAGGGGGAATCAGCAAGATTCTGGAAATGCACTGGTTTTTGCAAAGTACGACCAGGCGAGGTCCTCTTTCAAAAAGTCCGCTGCCCGCAGCCAAAATTGTCTGGGAAGTGCGTTGTCAGGCCCCAGAGAATTTTATGTGTGTGAAACACCCAGGTTTTCAGTGGATGAAAGAAGTAGCTAATGACCGCGATGGAAATCTGGGTCCAAGAATATTGAAGCGACGAAAAATGCTTCAGGCCGGAAGCCGCGAAAGGAACGTTTTTTGTAGTGGAACTAGTTTTTCATTGTAATAGCTGCATTACGCCCTCCTGGCCGTGGCATGCATGGATTGCACTGACCTTGACTCATTTCTGACAGCAGCTCTGGCCCTTTGCCTCCCATCCTTCTGCGAAGAGCAGAGAGCAAAGACTACACAGGAGGAGAGATTTCGCTCCTGCCCTGTTTAATTTCACTCGTGGCTCTAGTGGCAGGAAGTTGGTAATGAGGACAGAATCTGGCCCTTTCCATGTCATAATATCTTAGAGTTGCATAGATGTCAGAGACAGCAGAGCCCATCGTGCCCATCCAGTCCAGCCTCCTGCCTAACCCAGGCCAGAGAATCTCCCCCAGCGATTCCTGCCTCTGGCCCAGTAACTCCTGGCTGAGCTAGAGCGGAGCTTTGAGAGAGAGACGCCCCATCTCCACCGACAGACTCCCAGTGATGGACAACCCACCTCCTCCCTAGAGGAGCTCTCCCAATGGTTCCTTCCCCTCCCAGCTAAACACTGGCCCCTAATTCCCAGCCTCCATTTGTCTCCCTTCTGCTCCCAGCCAGTGGATCGTGCTCTGCCTTTGTATTTTAAAGATCCCAACCTATTACAGTTGTGCTCTCTGAGGTTACCTTTCTCCTAATCTTTTATGGTTTTTATAGTCACTGTGTGTCTGTGCAGTGCCCACCGCTACAGGGCCCTGATCTCAGTCACTGTGTGTCTGTGCAGCGCCCGGCACAATGGGGCCCCTGATCTCAGTCACTGTGTGTCTGTGCAGCACCTGGCATGATGGGCCCCTGGTCTCAGTCGCTGATCTCTCTCTCTCTCTCTCCCAGGATTCCCCTCTCCCAGCTGTTCATTGTCTCCCGTTTCCTTCCCATAGGTGCTGAGATGCTGCACAGGGACGAGGAGGGGAGTCCGTGGCAGGATGAAGCCTTGTCGGGCGAGGCGTCCGAGGACCTGCCCGGGGCCGAGGCTCAGCCGGATGGAGCACCGGGTGCAGGGAGCGCGAAGCGGAAGACATGCCCTGAGTGCGGGAAGAGCTTTGTCTGGAGCTCGCACCTGGCTCAGCACCGGCGCATGCACACCGGGGAGCGGCCGTTCCAGTGCGGTGAGTGCGGCAAGAGCTTCAGCCGCAGCTCCAACCTAGTGAAGCACCAGGGCACCCACACCGGCGAACGCCCCTACCGCTGCCCCGACTGCGGCCGCGGTTTCACCGACTCCTCCAACCTGGCCGCTCACCTGCGCGGCCATGCCGGCCACAAGCCCCACCGCTGCCCCCAGTGCGGGAAGGGCTTTGCCCGGCGCTCCCACATCGCCACGCACAGGCGCACCCACACCGGCGAGCGCCCCTTCCCCTGCCCCGACTGTGGCAAGGCCTTTGCCCAGCGCTCCGACCTGGTGGCCCACCGCCGCACCCACACCGGGGAGCGCCCCTACCAGTGCACTGTGTGCGGCAAGCGCTTTGGCATGAGCTCCACCCTGACGGTGCACTGGCGCACCCACACTGGTGAGAAACCCTACCGCTGCCACCAGTGCGGCAAAGGCTTCACCCAGAACTCGGGCTTCCTCATCCACCAGCGGCTGCACGCCGGAGACAAGCCCTACAAGTGCGGACAATGCGGCAAGGCCTTCAGCGTCAGCTCCGATCTCCTCGCCCACCGGAGGGGCCATGACGCTGGGGCTGCGGCCCACAAGTGCCCTGACTGTGGGGCTGGCTTCGGTGCTAGCACTGAACTCCTGAACCACCAGAGCAGTGCCCACGGGGAGAAGATGCCACACCGGTGCGCAGCTTGTGGGAAAGCCTTCCGGCTCCACGCTGCCCTCGGCAGGCACCAGAGGACTCACAGCCAGCAGAGATCGCACAGCTGCTGCCAGTGTGGGAAAAGCTTCCTGCACTGTTCGTCCCTCAGCGCCCACCTGAAGACCCACACTGGGGAGAAGCCCTTCAAATGCACCCAGTGCGGGAAGGACTTCCGCCAGAGTTCGGCCCTGATCAGACACCAGAGGACTCACACGGGCTAGGGACTGGCCACGGCTCACCCTTGGGGGTCAGGGACCGGCTTGGAGATCAAGAGGAGCAGAGGACAGATGTCAGATTGGGGTGGACGCTGGGAAGGTGAGGATGGGCTCTGGGGGAGGGACCTAGCACCTAGATGGAGAGTTTGGGGGTGGGGGCTAGGATGGGAAGGAGCTGGGTCGTGGGGGCAGGAGGGTCAAGTGAAGTAAAGCATGGAGTCTGATTGGCATCCCCGGAAGTGGGTGGGAATAACAATGGGGGCAGAGCTGGCTCATGGATCTCACCCCCATGCTCTGGGTCTAACTTTTCGCCATGTTTGGAGTCAGGAGGGAGTGACCCCCGCCCCCCCCCCCCGCCCCTGGGTCAGATTGGCAGAGACCCTGGGTGTTTTTTGCTTCCTCTGCAGCATGGGGCATACGTCACTTGTAGGTTTGAACTAGAGTAAATGGTGGATTCTCTGTCTCTTGAAGTCTTTACATCATCATTTGAGAACTTCAGTAACTCAGCCAGCGGTTACGGGCCTGTTAAGGGAGTGGATGGGGGAGGTTTTGTGGCCTGCAACGTGGAGGAGGTCAGACTAGATGATCATGATGGTCCCTTGTGGCCTTAAAGTCTATGAGGAATCGGGGTCAGTTGAGATCATTCGAACAAGGTGCTTTTTAATACAGCCAAATGCAAGGTCATCTTTCTAGGCCCAAGGGATGCAGGCTAGACCGGCAGAATGCGGACTGTCCCCTGGAAAGCAGAGGCCCTGAAAAGGATGTAGGTAAATCCACTCTGCAGTGCTGTGGTTAAGAGGGTAGCTTGCTCCTGGGCTGTCTGAGCAGGGAAATACCGAGTCAGTGGAGAAGGCGTGTTCCTGCATGCAGCACTGGGGAGACGATTCCTGGATCCTGTGTCCGATCCCGGGGTCCACACTTCAAAAGACAGCCCATGTCCAGTGAAAGGAAATGCCCTTTGCCGTGCCCTGTGGAACTCATTGCCACCTGGTGTTTCCAAGTCCAAGAACCGAACATGTCTCAGTGAAGGGATTGGGGGCAGATGGAAAGAGGGCGCTTCACACCTGCAGAGGAGCCTCACTTCGGTGTCCAGGTGGGAAGCGAGAACGTTCACAGGTTTCCATCGTCACTAGTCACTCCTGGCCCCGCTTCACGCCGGGAGCCAAACTCGGACTGGGAGCAAACCAGCTCCTCCCACAACTGCCCACTGCAGGCCTCACGCCCCTCTGAACGGGCTGCTCCTGGGCATGGTCAGAGCTGGGACACCGGCTAGAGGGGCCCCTGGGCTGATCCAGGGTTCATGTTGCCCCCACAGATGGTGAGCTCTTGGGAGCAGGCGCTTTCTCTTTGTTCTGTGTTCGTCTGGCGCCCAGCACAATGGGCACCTGGCCTATAGGCCCCACCATAACTCAAATAAACAATAACAACCCAGCTTGGCAGGGGAGGGGGAGGGGGTGTGGGGGCACTGCAGTGAAGGACTGCAGCTATTGGGGATGGTAGAGTTGGGAAGGAGCTGACTGTCTGTCTTGGAGGCAGGGAATGTGATATGGGGCCTTTCCCCTGGGGCGGGGGAGGGGCGGTGCTTCCTTCACTCACTGGACTGAGACCAGCTTCTGTGGCTGCAGAATCCAGTTTACTCAGACACAATGGCTGCCACAAACACACAGTCCTCACACCGTCTGTCTGCGCAGTCAGACTTGTGCTTCTGTCTTGCCTAAAACCCTATGGACCAATGGAGTGCGCGCACGCACACACACGCACACCTAGGAACAAGGGTCCAACAGGGGGCGCTGCAGACCCACCCGCACACAAAACCCCTCAGCCATACTCACGGCAGGAGTGAATTGTGGGAGTTCAGTCCTTGCCTCCCATCATGCCCCAGGAGGATGGGGGCAGGTTTTCCCACAGTGCCTAATGCTCCCAGGAACAACTCTGTTCTGGGAATCCTGCCGGGAGGTGGGGGTGGGGCTTGTTCCCCAGTAATTGCTGTGTGGGGATGGGCAGAGGGTGCAGGGCATAGGATGCATGGTGGAGGGCGCAGGGCAGAAAGGCGCAGCAGGATGAAGGGTAGAAAGCGGCTATGGGACAGAGTTGGGGGGCTGAGGAGGGGGGGCAGAGGCATGAAGAGTCAGGAGGCAGAGAAGGGTGCAGGAGGAGGAAGGGGGATGGGGCACAGGAGCGTGGGTGGGAGGGATATGGGATGGAGGCCAGTGGAGCTATGGGAGGGAACTAAAGGGTGGAGGAGGCAGAGGGGTGCAAAGGTGGCCCATGCTAGCTCCCCGCAAGGCAAGTTTATCCAAGGAGAGTCAAGCATTGTGAGTGCAAACAAACCCTAAGAGGGAAACCTGGAACAAAATAAACCCCATGACTCCAAACATAAAATCTAGGGGCTTGGTTTTTAAAACCACTAAAAACTGAAAAGTGTCATCAAAAATCAATTTTCTAGGGGTCTCTAGTTCCCAGAGGACTCTGAGCCGTGTAGATTTAACCCCTGATTATCAGAGCCCTTGAGCAGCAGGATTCAGCCTCCTGGGCACAGTGTATGAAACCCATCCCCTCAGAGCAACTGTCTCAGGCTCTCGCCAGACTCAGGCAGGGCCAGCGTCTGTGCAGTGCCCTGCACAACAGGACCCCCATTCTGGTTGAATTCACAGTAATAATAATGGGCTCTTGATGGATCCCTCCTGTGATCCCAGACATTGTCCCTGCCCAGATGGCCTCCCAGTCTAGTTTTGGAGTCAAGTCCCGGAGTGCAGCACCAGCAGTGCAGACACTACGGGGGCTTTAGGGTGGGTTTCTCCCCAAACTGTCCGTAGTTAGGAGGACGAGGAGCTCTGGGTTCTGAATAACTCTCGTTTTAGTTCCCAAGGGTTTGAATCACAAGATGGTGCTGCCCCACGGGGCTGTTCATAGAATCATAGAATATCAGGGTTGGAAGGGACCTCAGGAGGTCATCTAGTCCAACCCCCTGCTCCAAGCAGGACCAATCCCCAACTAAATCATCCCCACCAGGGCTTTGTCAGGCCTGACCTTAAAAACCTCTAAGGAAGGAGATTCCACCACCTCCCTAGGGAACCCATTCCAGTGCTTCACCACCCTGGCGGGGGTGGGGTGGAGAGGTCAGTAACTCACAACGTGCCTCATCTTTACATTCAGTTTATTCTAAAAAAAATGGTTCTCACCAACCCAACCCAGCAGAGCGAGGGCTCTTTGCGGGAGGGGGAGCGAGGACATCCCACCAGGGGGCAAAGACTGAGGCCCAAACAGTGCGGGTGAGCCCGTCCCACTGAGCAACCAGGCCCGGCTCTGCCACCTCTGCCCCTCTTGGTCTCAGCTCCAGGGTGTTGGTAGGCGAGGGAGGTGCACAGGGCTGGATGGATGTTCTATGGGAGCATGTATACACACACACTTACCGAGGCAGGACCCCCTCGGCCCTGAGAGCTGGGGGAGGGGAGGGGAGCTGGCTGGCATACCTCATCTCCCTGCCCCCCACCCCTGCTGCTGCTAGGGTGAGGGAGCACCCCCAACTCCAACAGCCTTGAGCGGTTCCCAGCTACTGGACGATTAGGGGGGTGTTGGTGTGATGGGGCAGGAGCCACTGTCCCACCCAGAGGCCCTGTCAGGGACACTGCCCACCCCCATGCCATTCCCCAGCCCGTCAGGCCTGCTTCTCCCCCCCTCACACCGTGGGGCAAATCCTGAGGCTGGTGCCGGGGCACATGAGCCAGAAGAAGGGGTAGAGCGGCTCGGGGAAGCGGGCGCCGGTGGCAAAGGAGAAGATGGGTTCCATGCCCTCGGCCTCATAGAAGGTGATGCTCCCGCCGTCACAGTCCAGGAAGATGCCCAGGAGCAGGGGGCTGCGGCTTGGGGACAGTCTGGTCTCGGGGCAGGTGAGGGCGTGGTACTGTCCCCTGATGAGGCGCACAGCCCAGATGCCCTCCTCCTGCTCCATGCTGAACCAGCCCTTCCTGCGCAGCGAGCCCCGCGCTACGCCCAGCGTCCAGTAGGCCTTGTCGCCCGCCTCCACCTCCACCTCCCAGTAGTGCCGCCCCGTACGCAGCCCCGCCACGCCCAGCACACAGCGGTACGTGTCGAAACGCTTGGCGTGGGACGGGATGTCCCGCTGCGGCTCCCCCAGCCGCACGCCCCGACGGTCCTTGGACAGCTCCAGGCACACGTGGGCTGTCTCGGGATCCAGAGTCACGTCCGCTGTATGGAGAGATGAGAGAGTCAGACCAGCACTGTCAGACCAGCCTGCGGCCAACACTCCATGGTCCAGGGACCACATGGCCCCACCCACAAGCCCTGGCTGCACCTCTGCCCTGTGGCCACGCCCCCAGAATATAGCCCCACACCACACCATGGTCCCACCCCCAAAACGGAGCTCCATCCTCTGTATCACGGCCATGTCCCCGTGTAACCCACACACTTCCTGGGTGTGGTGCTCTGTCCCAGCTAGTGGCACCAAGACCACTTTGAGAGAGATTAATGAGTCTGCTTTACACTCTTAGCTAAGCGACAGATGGCTTTTAGCTCATGCAGTAGAGGATCATGCATTTAGCTCCAGCGGTCGCAGGTTTGATCCCATCTCTGGACCATGGCTCCCAGAATGTAGCCTCATCCCATGCTGTGGCTCTACCCCTCACTATGGCCCCATGCCCACACATCATGGCTTCCCACTTCAGCACTGTGGGCCTACCTCCCCTTAGGTACAAACCACATCCTCCCTACCTGCACAGAGATCTAAGGCCAGAAGGGATAACTGTGACAATCTGGCCTGACCTCCAGTGTAACACAGAGCAGATCTTTTAGAGAAAAAAAAAACCATCCAAACTTGAATTAAAAATGGCCAATGATGGAGAATCCACCACAGTCGTTGGTAAGTTGTTCCAGTAGCTACTCACCCTCGCTGTTAAGAAGTCACGCTGTATTTACAGTCTGAGTTTGTCTAGTTTCAACTAGCAGCCACTGAATCTTGTTAGATCTTCGCCTGCTAGCTTGAAGAGGCCGCTATTATTAAATATTTGTTCCCCATGGAAGTACTTATAGACTGTGATCTAGTCACCCCTGAACTTTCTCTTTGTTAAGCTAAATAGACTGAGCTCCTTGAGTCTCTCACTAGAAGGCAGGTTTTCTAATCCTTCAACCATTCTCACGGCTCTTCCTTGAACCCTCTGCAATTTATCAACATCCTTCTGGAATTGTGGCCACAGGAATCCAGCAGCGGTCGCACCAGTGATAAACACAGAGGTAAAATAACGTCTCTACTCCTACTCCAGATTCCCCTGTGTATGCATCCAAGTATCACATTACTTCCTGCCCACCCCCCGCCCAAACACACACGGCGTGTATATTCTTCTGTTCTCCCTGGGATCCCCAGCAAATTCCATCCCATGCAGTGTCACTCACTCTTGAATTTCTGTAGCATTTTCTTCATATCCAGGCAACGCTCAGGGAATTTGTATCTATTCTTCACTTCAGTGGGGATGGCTTCTGGCTCCCGCAGTTTGATAGTTTCAGCACTACGGGGAGAAATGCCTTATTATCTCAGCTCCCAGCGCACCCATCCATAGCAGAAATGGAACGGAGATGGACCACAGTCACCTACCTGCTCAGTGGACACCTCACACCCTGCAGAGGAGAAACGGAGGAGAATCAGTGTCTGCTGTGAAAAAGCCTTGTTTGGTGAATCCTAACATTTTCCATTTGGGGGGTTTTCCAGCCCAAATTTTTGAAGAAAACAAAATCTTTTTCAGCAGAGGGAAAAATCCCAAGTCATTTCCCAACCAATTCTACCAGTTAACCCCATTTAACAGATGGAGAAACTGATGCCCACAGAAGGAAAAGTCACACAGAGACAGGCTGGGATTAAAACCCAGGCCTCTCACATCACTGCCCTGTACCTTACCTCCTTGGCCACCCAGTCACCTGCTGACACACCCCACACACTCTCACCTCCAGCAGCTCCACAGATGATTTCCGGCACTTCTCCTCCAGCTCTGCAATGAGTTTGCCCAGGGCAGAGCTCTGCTCCGAGAGGTCAGCTAGGTTGGCCTGTACTCTCTGCATGAAGTCCTTCTCTTCCGTCGCCAGCTTCTCTAGCAGCAACTTCTCCTCCTCAGTCAGGAACTGGCGGATCTTCTCGAACTCTGACATGACGATCTGACGCTGAACCTCCACTTTCTCCTGCCGGGAGAAGTAAAAAAACCAACAGGACTGAGGAAAAACTATGTGCTACTTACACACCAACCAGCCAACGTTCCCCTAAACTTTTCTCACCGAACTCCCCCCCCTACACATTTTCTCCAAATTGTTTGATGTCCCCCCACTATCCAGATTTCGAAAAGTGAAACAAAACCAATGTTTTTTATTTAATAAATGTACAGATTCCAAGGCCATAAGGGACCATTAGATTCTAGTCTCACCTCCTACATAGCCCAGCCATTGAATTTCACCCTGTCACCCCTGTCCTGAGACCAATAACTTGTGATTGATTAAAGCGTTTTCCAGAAAGACGTCCCATCTAGATTCAAAGCCACCAAGAGATGGAGCATCCGCCACTTCCCTTAGGAGTTTGTTCCAGTGGTTAATCACCCTCCGTGTTAACAATCTGTGCCTTATATCTACTTTGAATTTGTCTGGCCGCCGCTCCCAGCCATTGGCTCTTTTTCTGCCATTCTCTGCCGGACCCTGTGAGGGCGGCAATCAGGCAGCCTTCGGCGGCATGCCTGCGGGAGGTCCGCCGGTCCCGCGGATTCGGTGGCAATTCGGCGGCGGGTACGCCGAAGCCACAGGACCGGCGGACCTCCTGCAGGCATGCCGCCGAAAGCAGCCTGCCTGCCGTGCTTGGGGCGGCAAAAAAGCTAGAGCCGCCCCTGCTTGGGGGTCAGCTCAAACCTGCGCAGCAGGGCTTGTTTGAACAGTTCATAGTCCCCTGTTTCCACCCCATCCATCCACCCCAGAGGGGTGATGCAGATTTCAGCTGGGCAACTGGATTCAAAGGTACTTGCCAGTAGCCCGTGGTGAGATCCATAGTGAGACAACGATGAGCCTCCCCAGCTTGTCTAGGAGCTCGTGAGGCCTAGGCATGAGGTAGGCATCAAACTTGGTGATGGCATTAAGCTTCCGGTAATCCACACAAAACCGGATGGACCCGTCCTTCTGGGGGATCAACATCACTGGCTGGAGGGCGGCTGGATCACCCCTATAGCCAGCATGTCTTTGACCTCTCTCTCCAGGTTCTGGGCAGTTTTCCCAGTGACCCGGAATGGGGAGCATCTTACAGGAGGGTGGGCTCCTGTCTCCACCTGGTGGACAGACAGGTTAGTGAGCCCAGTCCAGTTGGAGAACAGCTGCTGGTAGGAACCCAGCACCCCTCGGATCTCTGTCTGGTGGGCAGGGGTTAGCTGGTCAGAGAGGGGAATTGATTCCAGCGAAGGTCCAGCCCCTGTCTCAGGGAATAGATCCACCAGGGGATCATCTCCCTGCTCCTCCCAATGGCCACACACAGCCAGTACCAAATTCTCCCTGTCAAAGTACGGCTTCACCATGTAGACATGGTACACCTGGTGGCTGTGAGCCCGGTTAGACAGTTCTACTACATAGTTCACCTCATTCAGCTGCTTGATGACCTTAAAAGGCCTGTCCCCAGCAGCTTGTAGTTTGTTCTTTCTCACGGGAATGAGCACCATCACCTAGTACCCGGTGGCATAGGAGCGGGCACGCGCTGAGGGTCGTACCAGAGCTTCTGCTTCCATTGGCCCCTGGCTAGATTTTCCCTGGCCAAGCCCATGAGCTCAGCGAGCTTTTCCCAGAAGGTCAGTACATGCTCCACCACTGATTCTCCATCGGGGGAGGCCTTCCCCTCCCGTTCTTTCCTCAGCAAGTCCAGGGGTCCCTTCACTCTCCTCCTATACAGCAACTTGAAAGGATAGAATCCTGTTGATTCTTGGGGCACTTCCCGGTACGCGAACAGCAGGTGAGGTAAATACTTGTCCCAGTCCTGTGGGTGCTGGTTCACAAAGATTTTCAGCATCATCTTTAGAGTTCCATCGAACCTCTCCACCAGCCCGTTGGACTGAGGGTGATACACTGAGGCCCAGGGGTGTTGGACCCCACACTTCTGCCACAAGCACTGGAGCAGAGTTGACGTGAAAATGGAGACTGGTCTGTAAGGACCTCCTTGCGGAACTCCACTCTGCTGAAAATGGTCAGCAGTGCGTCTGCCACAGTGTCTGCCGCGATAGAGGACAGAGCCACGGCCTCAGGATAGCGAGTAGTGAAATCTACCACCACCAGAATGTATTTTCTCCCTGTCTGAGTTGCTTTGCTGAGGGGCCCCACTATGTCCACGGTCACCTTCTGGAAAGGCTCCTCTATGATGGCCAGGGGCCTCAAAGCTGCTTTCTCCTTGTCCTGGGCCTTCCCCACCCTCTGGCAGGGGTTGCAGGACCTGCAGTACTGCTGGACGGCATCAACGACCCAGGGACAGTAAAAGTTCCATAGCTGCCTTTGCCAGGTGTGCTGGATTCCCTGGTGTCCCGAGAGAGGGATGTCATGGGCCAGGTACAATAGCCTGTGGCGGTACTTCTGGGGGACTACCAGATGTCTCCTGATCCCCCACAGTTCTACTTCCCCTTGGGGAGCCCATTCCTGGTACAGGAATCCCTTCTCCCACAGGAACCTCTCCTGGCAGCCTTCCCCCAGAGGTTTCACCGTGCTGTGGCCAGCAAGTTCCCTCAGCTTCTCCAGGGAGGGATCCTTCCGCAGCTCGGCCTGGAATTCAGCGGCTGGGGAAGGGATGGGAACCTGCTCCCTCTCACTGGCTGGGTCCGAGGCCACAGCCTGGCCAAGTCCTGTCCCCAGTGACTCCTTTCCCACCAGGGTAGGGTCCTGTGCCCCCTGCAGGGCACTGCCCCCGGTGTCAGGGAAGAGTGCCCCCCGCTGGCTCTGGCTATGGGTGATGATTAGGGTGCTTGGGGGCTGCCTGGCCAATCCACCCGGTCACCCCCCATCAGCACCTCGGTTGGCAATTGATGGTGCACCCCCCACATCTTTGGGCCCCTCCTTGGTCCCCCATTTCAGATGTACCCTCACCACAGGTACCTTAAATGGGGGCCCACAGACGCCCGTCAGCGTCAGGTAGGTGTTGGGCACCACCCGATCTGGAGCCACCACCTCGGACCCAGTGACCTGCTTCCTATCCACCTCCAGGGGAATGAGGCACTCGCTCCTCAGGGGCTGTCCCGCGCTCACTGTAGACTGAGAACTTTGAATCCGGAGTATCAAGCCTCCCCAAGAAACTGGCCTGGGAGACTCCTCTTCCCTTTGGAGCCATTGCTAAACTACCAGCCCCTCCTGCCTGGGGAGCCAGCCCCTCCCCTCCTCTGGCTGGGCTCCCACCCAGGTAACCCTCTGAGGGCTCGGTTTGCTTATCCTGTCCCTGAGCTTTTGGGACCGGGCCCATCTGTGGCCCCTCTGCCCACAGTAATTACATCTCAGGTCCCATTGGTCTCCTGCGGCTGGTCTGTCAGCTCTGGTATTGGCTGTGCCTCTCAGGAGGGATTTATCCGAGACTCCCTTCTGGGTAGCCCTGGGTGACCCCTCTTCTGCCCTCATGTGGGCCTGTCCCCCCCAGGATTCCATTCCATATCCCGACCTGCTATCTACAAAATCGTCAGCCAGCAGCCCTGCGTGGTGCAGGTCCTTTGGCCTCTTGTCCACCAGCCCCATCCTCAGGTCGGGGGACAGAGTTCAGATAGTCGCTCCAGCCCCATCAGTTCAATCACGTCCTCCTTGGTCTGGGCCCCGGCCCCATTCACCCACTTGTGGGTGTATTCCTCCATCAGCATGACCAGTTCCAGACTGGTCATCCCCTGGGTCTTCTGCATACTCTGGAACCTTTTCCTGTACGCCTTGGGGGCAGGAGCGGCTCCAGGCACCAGCGCTCCAAGCGCATGCCTGGGGCGGCAAGCTGCAGGGGGTGCCCTGCCGGTCCCTGTGAGGGCAGCAGTCAGGCAGCCTTTGGTGGCATGCCTGCGGGAGGTCTGCCAGTCCCACGGATTCGGCGGCAATTCGGCAGCAATTCGGTGGCGGGTACGCCGAAGCCATGGAACCGGCGGACCTCCTGCAGGCATGCCGCCGAAGGCAGCCTGCCTGCCGTGCTTGGGGCGGCAAAAAAGCTAGAGCTGCCCCTGCTTGGGGGTCAGCTCAAACCTGCGCAGCAGGGCTTGTTTGAACAGTTCATAGTCCCCTGCTTCCACCCCATCTGTCTGCCTGAACATCCCTATGGTCTTGGGACCCAGTAAGGGGGTGAGATGCCGAAGCCTGTAGGTGCATATTGCAGGCCGTCTCAAAGGCGGTGAGGAAGGCATCTATATCATCCCCTTCCTTAAACGGAAGGTTTATTGGTTGACAGGAACGCAGCATAGAACAGAGCTTGCTATCACAGAAATCAGTGACTTTCAGCCAAGTCCATCTTGGGTAGTCCTGGGCCAGAAGTCCTGGACTCCCCCTAGTCCAGTCCCCCCAAGAAGACTGCCAACTAGAGTGACCACAGGTCCTGATTTTATAGGGACAGACCCAATATTTGGGGCTTTTTTCTTATATAGAGGCCTATTCCCCCCACCCCGTCACGATTTTTCACACTTGCTATCTGGTCACCCTACTGCCCGCTTCCAGCGACCAGACCTCCAACACCCCCATTGCTCCTCCTCCTTCTCTTTGTCTCACTTCTCAGGCCAAAGGTGTTACCCGGTCTCTCTCTCTCTCTCTCTCTCTCTCTCTCTCTCTCTCACACACACACACACACACACACACACACACACACACACACACACACACAGAGA